GTTGCCATGAGAACAGGAACTGCAGCTGGTTTATGGGATGTTCTGAATTGTAAAGAGAAAGCAGCTTTCCTCTGCAGACACAGGGCAGAAGGTGTAACTCCTCCACCTGTTCTAACCACACCAACTCCACCCCCATGCCCCAGGGGATGGTCTGCAAGTACAACCAGACATGTGTGCTTCAAAGTAAGTACAAAGTATTTTGAATCAACATATTTCTAGGTAAATTTGATCAGTTTTGCATGTATAGTAGCCTTTTTGGTCGGCCAGATTTGAGACAAAGAGGTATGGAGAGAAAGCTGCCTCTTCATCAAGGTTGAAAGTTTCAGATAAATAAACACAGGGATTTTTGTGCAAGAGCAACTGTTGTCTTTTGAGTTTATTCCAAAAGGGATGTCTTTTTTGGCCATTTTTTTAAAAAATTGTTTCCTGCACAAAGTTTTCTCAGAGCTTCCAATTTCCAAAGGCAGGCAGCAGCGTATAGCAGCCCTGAATGAGCAACATGTCAAATTTCAGAACAATAGATGCAATATTTTATGTAAAAGATAATTTTTAAGGAGGAGAGAATACTTTTCTTCCCCTTTGTTTTCTTTTCTGAGCAATTTGAATGCAAATGCACAGAGGTGCTGCCAGCATGAAATCTTTAAAGTCCTTGGCAAAACGGCCAATTAATAGAAGTCGGAGATGTTGGTCACTCAGTTCCACTCTGTACCTCCTCCGTACTACCCATCTGGAGCATTTTCAGGGAAACGAAACCATGAGTAGAGATGGACACAAACTGGTTCATCAAAGTGACAGCACAGGTGGTGCTGCTCCCCTCCCCTTCCTCCTCTGGCTCAACCAGCCCCTCGCCAGGCCTAGTGTGATAGCTTCATACATCTCCTCAACCGATCTTCCAGTTCCAGCAATAGCTCAGTTTTTCTGTTTTCAGCTCTCTTGGCTGATCTCCCACTCAGAGAAAAGAGTGGGGCAGAGAAGTCTGTGCTCTTGCTTGTGACTGGGAGATTAGCTGAGGTGGTGGGAAAAGCAATCAAACTGGGCCTGGTGAGTGGTTGATCAGCTGAGGAGGTGCGGGAGGGGAGCAGCAGCACTTGTGCTGCCACCTTTACGAACTGGGACAAACTGGGACAAACCGGTTCATGTCCATCTCTAAGAGATTCCCCCTTTTATTTTCAGCCAGATTGTCTGTCTTCCTTCAGAAGTCTGAAGCCCTAACAAAGCTTTATGTGGTCTGCACATTCAGTTCTGGTCACTATGAGAGCAGGGCTACTTGCCTTGGAAAGCCCCAGCACCAGCTTTAAAAAGCACAGTTTGATTGAGGATACACCCAAGTCCAGTTCACATTCAATGTAGAAATGTCTTTTGTATATCAGTGATATTATCAAGATATCTGAGTGTCTGCTGTTGTGGTTTTTAGTTTCATTCGTAGTCAGAGAAATAAACCACACAGGGCATGCATCAATATAAATTATTTGGCTACGATGCTGCACAATAACAGGAGACTGTTGTACATGTGATGTTTCCCCATGTGAGCCGAAACCTTGATATCCTCGTGTTCTGGCTCATGTGGAAAGCCTTCAATGACAGCCTGATCTCTGTTCATCAGAGATGTCACTTTCATGTGTTCAAAGTGATAGCAGAGGTAACGTAAGTGTGTCTTCTTACATGTCAACTTGTCACTCTAAGCTAAATCCTGCCTAGGGCTGATGACTCAACCATAACTCCTTTAAAAATTATTATTCCATGATAGCTTTTCAAAGAAATATATGCAAGTATGCAAATTTTTTTTACTATAGTTCTTTGGCTTTAACATGGAACTGTTTCATGAATCTTTTTAACACTGCCTTGTATCCTTGATTTTTAGTGCAATTCTTTAAAACAGATGTAAGATTACTTTAATCTAATGTAGGAACCCTGAAGAAACTGACTTCATAGAGAAAAATATGTTTCTGTTTCTTGGTATTTCTGTACTATTTCAAAGTAATCGAAATGCTTTCCAGTGGCATCATTTTGTAAAAAATATACACATTTTTAGAGTTTGTTACAGAAAGAGTTGTGAGCTAAGAAGGAACAAAGAAGGAAATAAGTCCAACTCCAGAGCATGATATAATAAATAAGGTATATAGAGGGTAATATGTTTGATAAAACATGTTTTTATGCATTAAGGCATTTACTGAAGAAAAATATAAAGCGAAAACTTGGTTTGAAGCACGAGATTTCTGTAGAGAAATTGGAGGTGATCTGATATCTATCCATAGTCAAGAAGAGCAGACTTTTCTAGAAAAATGGTGAGTTTCATAAAATATTTTCTCTTTTACATTATCTCCAGATCATAAGCTGTTCTCATCCAAGGTGTAGATCTGGGATGGCCATACAGTATCTGAAAGATTTTGGAAGTGCACTTTTAGCTTCCAAAAAGATGTAAAACACAATTTTCTATTAAAATAATGACAAATGCCTTGCTTTAGAATAGAATCACTATTCCTGGAAAATCATTAGGCGTATCAAGGCTCCTGTTTTCCAACATTTTCCAGTTTGCAGAAGGGGGGTGTCTGGAAATAGGTCCACTCTAGGTGGAATTAGCACTAGGACATAGCCAGCAAGCTTTTACATGCATATTATGTTACTCGGTCTCCTGAAAACTGTTTATGCCCAAAGAACCAGGTATTTAGCACGATGCCTGAAATTTCACCTCCACATTGCCAAGAATGTCCAGGAGCCTGTCCCTTTTAACATTCTAAATATCACAAGATGCACACTCCACTTCCATACCTTCTTATATCTGTGTTAGACATGGGGATGAATATAAAAACGAATCAGGGATATTCAACGAATATCCCTGATTCATCAGATATTTGTTGCTTTATATTCTTGGGGTCCAGAGACCCCAATTAATACAAAGCAATGAATATAACCCTTTTATGTTCATCCCTGCGTCTATCCCTATCTGCTTATGTCCCTGGGAATCAGCTGTTTCTCAGGGGCATATGCAGAGAGGGGTTTTCTCTTTGGGCAGCTTCCTAAAGTTGCCCAAAGGGAATCCCACTCATTTGTTTAAAAAATGGGTGGATCACTTTGCTCAGGTTCCCCTGTGTTTCTATACCTCTGCAACATACACAGGGAAAGCCTGACCAAAGGAATTCTTCCCACTGTCTTTGCAAAGACAGCGGAAATCCCCGCTTCCAAATTCCCCGCTTTCCGCTGCCTATGCCCTCACCTGCAACATACACAGGGAAAGCCTGACCAAAGGAATTCTTCCCACTGTCTTTGCAAAGACAGCGGAAATCCCCGCTTCCAAATTCCCCGCTTTCCGCTGCCTATGCCCTCACAGCATAGGACAAATTCCCCGCTTTCCGCTGCCTATGCCCACACAGCATAGGAAGAGGGAAGGAATCAAAGCGAGATCAAAATAATTATCCAGCCCCACTGTCTTTGCAAACGACTGCTCTGCATAGTAAGGCTGTGAGGGCTGGGGCTTTTAAAATGACTTGACAAACTGATTTGTGGTTCATCAGGTCATTAGAGGGCAATTTGTGGGTTGTGACTCGTCAAGTTAGATGACTCACGAATCAGATGAAGCGCCATTTTAGGGCTTCATCCCCATCTCTAATCTATGTAACTGTATATTATATTTCAGGAAACTTCAAAAAGATAGCTGGATGGGCTTAAACGCTTTGGACCCCGGTGAAGGATTTCGTTGGAGTGATGGATCTCCTGTAAGTAATTTGTTAATGCTGTTTTTTTTTAAAAATTATTTTTACTAAACCAACCATATGAACGTTGGCTTAGAAGATGGGGGCATGAAGTTGTCTGCTAGCATTATCCCCCCTACCATGGAATAAAGACACGAGGCAATTATTATGGAATAAACATGGGCCACATTTTATGGGGCTGGTGGCAATTGAAGTTGTCTGCTAGCATTATCCCCCCTACCATGGAATAAAGACACGAGGCAATTATTATGGAATAAACATGGGCCACACTTTATGGGGCAGGTGGCAATGTGTAGCCTGCAGAATTAAATTGTAAACCACTCAGAGAGAACGAGAGAGATTTAAGCACTATGGGGCAGTATACAAGCAGCACACTTTTTTTGTTGTTGTCATCACATTACCAAATGATATATGTGAAGATATGTATGTAAATCCTTCCTCCTCGTTTTTAATGTTTTGATTTTTAGCAGATTTAGCAACCAGAATTCTGTTTGCTTATGTTATTGTGGAACATTCCCCCATCCAACTACTGCAGGCCTATCTTCAGACACTTAATCTTGCAGTGACTGAAAAATTGGGCATACAGCCGGTTGCTTTGTCAATCACATGAAAGTGTAGGAAGGTGAAATTGCTGCGTGATTGCCCTTGACTGTTCTCCAACTGGATTCTGAAATGCAGTGTATTCTTATACAGTGCAATATATGTGTAGTATACATTGCAATTTACACACAAGTAAACCCCAATGAACTACTGGATTGCCTGGACCATGTGCCCTTTGTTGGTTATTTGTTGGTTGGTTATTTATTATTTATCCACTATATAAATATTACCTTACTTCTACATATCTGAACATTTATCTCTCACATGCCAGCCTAAACTAATTACTACGTTCAAGTCAAGTAGCCCAGCTACATCAGGGGTGTAGACCAAACATTCAACAACTGATTCAGTGGCTGAAATCCTATAGCTTAGTGTAGTAAGATGCAGCAGAGTAAGCTCACTGAATCATTGGGGATTTGACAAGTCAACTCCTCTGTAAGTTCCACTGATTCAAATGAGCCTACCCTAGTTGTGCAGCCAGACTACGCCCTTTAGAATCAATGGAGTTAACTCACCAAATCCCCACTGATTCAATTGGCTTTGTTGTTATTGTTATGTGCCGTCAAATTGCCTCCAATTTATGGCGACCCTGTAGATGAGTGATCTCCAAAATGCCCTGTCCTCAGTTCTTGTAAATTCAAGCCTTTGGGTGTTCTTTAGGGACTTGTTCCATCTCTTATTTTTTCTTCCTCTTTTCTGGTTGCCTTCAGCTTTTCCCAGCATTATTGTCTTTGCTAAGAGAATCCTGCCTCTTCATGATGTGTCCAAAGTAAAAGAGCTTCAGTTTAAATATTTTTGCCTTCAGAAATATTTCAGGCTTGATTTGCTCTATGATTGGAGATGGGCGCAAACCAGAAAAATGATGAATCGGGGTGGTTAGTGGTTCATAGCTACCCAGAAACCTCTCCCAAACCCCAGGAAAAAATGAACTGGTTCATGATTTACTTTTTGGGGGTCTGTGCCTGCGGGGAAGGGAATCTAACATCCCCAGCTCCTGCCCCTGTTGCCTCCCTGCCTGTGCCTGCTGCCACTTTCTCTTCCTCCTCTGCTGCTTCCAGAGATAGTGGCCAGCCCATGCACAGACAGACAGCCTGGCTCCCAGAAGTGACGCCAGGCTGTTGTATCTGAAGATGGCAGCAGCAGTGGAGAAGGAGGCAGGGGCAGGGAAGAGTGGGCCAAAGAAAAATGAAGGGCTGGGTGAAAAAATGTTTGATGCTTTATTTGTTTTGGGCAAAATGGGAGCCACAAACCGAACTTTAAAGTCATAGATTGGTTCATACCCATCTTCCACTGTGACCTATTTGCTTGTCTTTCTGGCAGACCAGGATATCCACCAAGCTGTCCCTCCAGCACTGTATTTCAAATGAATCATATTTTTTTTCCTGTCAGCCTTTATTACTGTCTAGCTTTCAAGGTGCCTACTGTAGTGCATCTTACTATGCAAAACAACAGGATTTTAGCCAAGGAGTCTACTACAGCTTGGACTCATGACAACGAGACTTAGGTCACTTTGTTTACTTCCCCAAAAAAGGGTGTGGAAACAAGCACAAACAAACCATTATTTATAAGCCCTAGACTATTCATGATCTGTCTCTCTTCTGAATATCTTCAGATATATAAATAAATACTAATATATATTAGTACTGATGTTATTTTGAAGACAACGGTAAGAAAACTTTGTTCCTACTACAGGTGGACTTTGAAAATAAGAGGATTCGGAGGCCATCATCGATACATTACTATAAGTGCAGAGTACTGAGCATCATTTTTGCGCAGTGGCCATATTATCCATGTAACTATTTGTTAAACTGGGTTTGCCAAATAAAACGAGGTAAGACACTGTTTCTATTGTAATAGGTTTATTAAAGAGAAGCAACAAGAATGTTGTTTGTTGCACTGTTATTAAACATGTTTTTAAAAATATCCCTATGTTAGTTTCTACGTATCTTTCAAAAAGAGAGAGTTTAAACAGTGTTTAGTGTTCAATACTCAATCCAGGAGCTTAAATTTTTGGACTACGTCACATGCTTCCCTTGTGAAGTAAACAAGGAATCTGTAGATGGATATCATTGTGGATGCAGATGTATACTGACTCTTCTTTCATCTTATGTTATATTATTCCTTACATCATGTAAAAATATGGCAAGCTTTAATTGGATTTTTATTATTTGTTGCTTGCAACATGCAACATAGATTGCATTTGGATATTTTGTTAATTAATATCTGATTGATTTTTCAGGTGTACCTTTAAAAGCAGAACCAAGTAACACTTTTGGTATGTTGATCATTTTCATGTGAAGAATGCTTTGAATATAATGTGCTGTGAATATAATGTTTTATTTAAGAACCTCCATGCTGGATCAGATCAAGGGCTTATCCGAATTTTAGTCCAACATTCTGTACGTGCTATAGCCAACCAGAAGTGGAAGCCTGCTAGAATAATAGGAGCACAACTGCACCCTCCACCTTGTGTTCCCCATCAGCTGAGATAAACAAACAAACAAACAAACAAACAAACAAACAAACACATACACATACATACATACATACATACATACATACATACATACATACATACATACATACATACATACATACATACATACATACATACATACATACATACATACATACACCCCCCAAAAAAAGACCTAGCCTGAAAATAATCCCTAGTATGATTTTTCAGGTTACTTGTAATATAAGCCCTACCCCCAAAATAAGCCCCAGTTAAGTGAAACCCTGGCCTCCACCATTGTGCAGCAACCAGAATAAGATGACATGATTGCATTTGAACACATGTAGATTATTGTAGATGAAAAAAATAAAACATTCCCTGAAAATAAACCCTAATGCATTTTTGGAGCACAAATTAATATAAGACCCTGTCTTATTTTCGGGGAAACACAGTAGGAGGAGGAGGAGAGCCACAGTTCACTTTTCCTCCTTTCTCCCAGATTGGCCCCGGGAGGGGGGTGCCTCTTAAAAGCAACACCACCACTACCCCCCCCCCAGCAACAGTGACAGAAGCAACTGCCTGGAGGTAAGGCAGCTGTGGCTCCTGCCTGTGTATGTATATGCCACTTAAGCAATATCTCACTTATAATTTCTTTAAAATAAAATATTAGAGCAGTGGGGACCCAGAAACAGGACAGAACATGAATTGATTTATAGTGAGGTGGCACATGTAGCCTACGGAACTGGTACACACAGCAAGAAAGGTACTGATTGAACTGAGAGATGAACGAGCCCAATAATATATATACCACATGACTATACATACGAATATATTGATATTTTAAAAAAGGAGGGAAAAGATACAATTCAAATGGTCCAGAGAGAGAGAGAAATGTCTTACACCATGCAGAATTGTATGCGAATATTCCCGTGGAGGTCATTACTGCAGCACAAGGCAAGCTGGGGACAGCACTCAGAGTCGGGCATGGGAAAAGCTTGGACTAGCCCTGATTGTGCCTCGCATAGGATTTGCCTTTTCTATAGTAGTCACACACTGGATCTACATTTTCATTGTGGTGTTTACCACAATCCTGGTATCACTTTGTTTGCCAGTCACTGTTAGCTCAGATTCCATTGGTGTATATTTGAACTTGGAAGTTTTTTGGCATCACTTTGCACATCCTTACACTCAATCTCACTTGCCACTTCACAACCCATCCCCTCACCTTGGAACCTTTCAGACCTCATCAGATCAGTTTTGGCTTTCTCTGCTTTAAATAGTTTGAAATCATGAGCAAATATAGCCATGTTACTGCTCACTTTTAACTCCAGATAATTTATTAACAAATTAAGAAGCACCAGTCCAACACAGATCCCTCTAGGACTGTTCTGTTCATATCCTTCCATTGTGAGAACTAATCATTTAATCTGTTTATATTTCTGTTTCCTGCTCTTAACCAGTTTGTATTTAACAAGAGCATTTCTGTTTCTATTTACTTTGCAGAACAGTCTTATAAAATAATTGGAGATGGCTGGATTGCATATGGGAGCAATGAGTATTATTTCAGTAACATCACTATGCCTGCAGAAAGAGCCCAGAAATTTTGCAGGATGCATGGTGGAAGTCTTGCTGTCATTGAGAGTGAAAGTGAAAACATTTTTGTGTGGAAATATGTAAGAAATATCTGGAATATATACTTTCCCCATCTAGTACAACTGGGTTTAGAATGGATTCGATCTTATGACTGCTGGTCTTCCGACTTTGCAGCACAGAGGCTTCTGTGGTTTAACCCACAGTGCTGCCACGTCCCTTCAATATTTTAACGTAGTATATACTTATTTGTACTTGTTTTTCAATTATGTTATGAACTACCATTTCTGGACAAAGGTAAATTTGAGATGCAACTTTATTCACAGTTTTGGAAATAAATCTCATTGAACTCAGTGACTGTTGCTTTGAAAATACATAAATAGGACAGCACTGTTGTGTTTTAAAAACCACAAACACTGTTGTGTTTTAAAAACCACAATAATTGTTCCCAAGATCACAATCTTCTTTCTGTATGATCTGATTTGCAAATTCTGCTGTTCTTGTGGATTAACTGAATTAGTTTCATCTGGACGAAAGTGAATTTAATGTAAATTAATAATACTGTATTTAATTTTACTTAATATAAAGTTGTGTAATGTCTTGTAGCACTTATTTCTTATTCTTCCTGTCTATTATTGCAGAATTTCTTTTATGGAATGCATGGTCCGCACTATATTGGTTTATTGTTGGGTCTTGACAGAAAGTTGAGGTAAGTGAACAAACTCTCTGGTTCTCTCCTATACACACATACTTTATGAAACAGATCTTGGCAGGAATCCAGTTGCATTAAAAGATCTGTTGCATTAATGGGAACATGGTGACTCATTATTAAATTCTAGTATTTCAGTGGGTCTATTGCAGTCAGAATTAACATTGGGATTTAGACCACTGTAATGTGAGATGTTCTACTCTCTATGGTGGCTTGTCCTGCAAGATGAGATCCTAGAGTTCCAACACCTCTGAAGAGTACCCGTAAATAGCAGAGCTTTCTCTGTTACACCTGTAAGCATCCGTCCCCCATGTAGGAAAGCAACGAAACTGGAAACAGAGAGTGTGGGGCCAAAATGTATATATGTATGTATGTATGTATGTATGTATGTATGTATGTATGTATGTATGTATGTATGTACGTACGTACGTACGTATGTATGTATGTATGTATGTATGTATGTATGTATGTATGTATGTATGTGCGTGCGTGCGTGCGTGCGTGTGTGTATGTACAGTCGTGCCCCGCTTAACGATTACCTGTATAACGATGAATCCGCTTCACAACAATGTTTTTGCGATCGCAAAATGATGTTTTAATGGGGTTTTTTCGCTTTGCGACAATCGGTTCCCTGCTTCGGGAACTGATTCTTTGCATTATGACGACCAACACAGCTGATCGTCAGGTTTTCAAAATGGCCACCGGCTGCTCAAAATGGCTCCCCGCTGTTTTTAGGAGGCATTTTTTGCAAGACAGGCACC